CTTTACAATCTATGAGCCTTTCTTTAGGGAGGTCAGGAGAGAGAAAGCTTATTTTGACTAGTAACAGCAATGGAAGCTAATGAAAGAAATAATGGTACCTAAGCTATATGTTAAATGCGTTTTAATTTTCAAAATAAGAGTTTGAGATGGGCAAGATGAATTCCATTTTAAAGATAAGGACATTGAGGCTTAAGGTCACATAGCTAGGTAAGTGGCAGAGCTCAAGTTCAACATCATACATGTCATCTCCGAAGCCCATGGCAATATCAGCCTGCAAGTGCCTATTACAATGATCCCTACTAGTGATTAATATATAATCAAATGACCTCACAGAACTCCTTTTCTAATGTTAATTTATAAAATGGAAGGATCATTCTGTGCTTAATGAGAATGGTTCAGGTGAGGGACAATAATGTAACATGGTGGAATGGAACGATGACCAGTCCAGAAATCTGGAATCTGAGTTCTAGTGCTAGCCCTGCTACCAAGTGGCAGCTGTGTGACCCAGGACAAGTTATTTTACCTCTCTGGGCCTCAGTTTTCACAAAAGTAAAAATGACTGGGGTTAAACTCAATTATCTCTGAGAGTGACCCGAAGAGTAGTAAGACTTCCGATTTGAATGGGAAAGAGATCCAGATATTCCTGAGCACAAATGGCCATCTGTTTGGAGAAGTCGTCAAAAAGCTTGTTTATGTTGGTGGCTGAGAAGCATCTTGGGAAATAACTCAAGTTGTGTCAATTGCTGAGATTCAGAGCCATGCCAATAAAATAGAGGATGCCAAATAGAAGTCCGTTTTTCAGTGGATAAGAGGTTTGCAGAGAAAGAAATTATCCCAGAGGATAGGGGTGAGCTCTCCAAGGCTTCCCTCATGACGTGGTCTGTCTTACCAAAGAGGAGAGGCCACTGTGCACAGCTCATATTGTCTGACACCAAGATGTGTGCCCTTGTCTATCCATGTAAAGTTCCATGGGGACTATCGGAGTTTTAGGCAAAGACTGAAGTAGCTATTTCATCTGGCCCCATAAAATACTGTGGTACAGCCAACACTGCTTAGGGGCCCCTCCAGCTGGCTAGAGAGTTTAGCAGGTTGATTGGAGTACAGAGTCCACCTAGAACTGAATTGAGTTCCAACCTACCCATCCCAGCTCTATGGCCTTGGGCTAGTGACTTAATAAGTCGTACCTCAGTTTCTTCATCTGGCTAATGGGAATTATAATGTTTTCTTTCTCAAAGTCCATTGATATAATTTAATTCAAAGTTGGTTATAAAGTGCTCACATAATGCCTGGGGAATGGCAACTATTCAATGCGTGTTAGCAACCTTGCTCCTGCTATCTGATGGATGCTGTCATTAGAGTCATGCTGAAGGGGAGAGAACCCTTCTCTGCCTTATGATTTCATCACAGACCACATGTGTGGAGGAGTCATGATGGTTACCTGTAGGAGTCGCATTGTTCTCAGAAACAGAGAAAAGCCTTTCTTACTAAGTGAGGTGGCAGTAAGTTAGTGGCCAGGCCGGGTGAGACAGGGCACCTGGGAAACAGTGCTGTAATTAGGAGAAAGCAGTGGTCACCGGCGGGGAGGTTCTTTGGCCATTGTGGAAGGGGCACAATGACAATGGCCCTCACAAGCAGTTCTTTTTTGGAAACACGTACAAGGATTTTTAGAAACTGCAAGACATACTTAGAGGATGTTTTAAAGGAGTTGTGGTAACAGATCAAGGCCACAAGCTAAAATGTTGGGGTGGGGTGGTGCTTGGAAAATTGAGTTAATTTATTTAATTGAAGCTATTTATTGAGCACCCACTATGTGTTAGGGACTCTTCTAGGCTTACAAAAACAAACTTAGCAAGGTGGACATATATCCCTGTCTGTTCATGAAGCTTGCATGCTAGAATTGACTATAAATGTATTAATATATATGATATTTTCATTTATTAGTGAGTTCTGTGAAAATAGTAAAATGACTTGGGAACTATGCAGAAAGTACAGGGTAATTAGGCGGGGCCTCAGCACACAAAAAGCATTCGAGGTAAGACCTCAATAAGGAGAAGGAACTGTCCTTGGGGAGGTCTAGAGTAGGATTGAACCAGGCAGAGGGAACAGAAAGAGCCAAGATCCTGAGTCAGAAAGGAGAGACAAGACTAGCGAACACAGAGAAAACTACTAGTGGAAAAGCATCTTGAAACGGTGGAGAAGAAGTCAGGAGAGGCCAGATTGAAAAGGGCCTTGTAGGCTACACACACACAAAATGTCATTGTAAGAAAAGAGCCCCTACCAAAAAGCTAACGAAAGCCAAAATAAGCAATAGGGTGAAATAGCATTAATATCCAAACAAATCAATGAATTAATGGAGTTACTTATCAAAGAGGAGATGTGCTACCACTTTCAGCATATTTTAGTAACTAACACAATGTTAAGCTGTGAGATTGCACAATGTCATGTTCTTAGGCATCTTCCTACGAATTTTTATTACCAAAAAGTGGCTGATGGACTGTGTTTTCAAACCTGACATCTAAGTAGTATAAGCTAGTGGATGTCATGAAATAGCACTGGACCTGGAGCCAGAAGGCCCGGGGTGAAGTTCAAGCTGCATGTCACCACCTACTGAAAGACCTCAGGCACTCTCCTTAGCCTCACTGGGATTGTTTCCTTAGGTCTAAGTTTAAAGAAATTGCTACCACACAGAGAAATTATGGGAATTAAACGAGACAATGCATTTTAAAATTTCTTGAAAATTGTAAAACATCATCTGGGTATTTCTTATTGGTTTTTAAATTCTTTTTAACATTTCTTGTTAAAATTTCTTTTTGGGGGCTTTCTCTGTGCTCCTTTCTTTATTTTTCTTTTTAATTTTTACAGATAACATAATAGTTGTACATATCTTGTCATTGTTGTTTTCAAGCAAAACCACTAGAGGTCAGGATTTCACATAAATTGTTTAAAGAAACACCCAAGATTGGTGGGGGAAGTGGGAGAAGGAGGAGAGACAGAGAGAGAGGACATTTTCCTAGTAAGCATCATACAACAGTAAATTTAAGGCCTAGAAATAAAAATAATGATGGCTTGCATCCACGAAGTTTCCATAACTTATTCCCCAAATTGTTACTCAACAGACTCAGGTAGATAAGAAGAGAAAAATAAAATAGAATTTGTTAAATATCTATGATGTCTACACAGCTTAAAGCTGACATTGATTATTTCATATTATTCTTAAAACAGGTCTCCGATGAAGGCACATTTTGCAAATCAAGAAGCTGAAGCAGAGTAGACACAATAACATGCTGAAGATAAACAGATTGGCTCTGTTGTCTTTCTTCACTAAGCCATGCTTGGGAAGTAATGTCTGCATATTGGTCAATACATTCTACGATTAGTTAGTATTATTGCTTTTTCACCTGCAGTTCAAAATAATTTATTTAGTTTCCATTCTCCCAAATGAATTTAGGGCAAAGTCCTTTTATTGTTTGTGTTTCCCAGAGTATCTAGAAATTTCTGAGCACTAGCTACAGTGCTAGTAAATATGGTAATGAGATGAATAGCCACAGAGAAAAATACAGACCAGCTTGATCTTAGGAAAAATATATAATTGAACAAAAGCAATAACCCAGTCCTTTAAAATATTTACTTAGCCTTTTTTTTCATTTTGTAGAGCTAAATATACAAATCTGCCTTGTTTGGGGGTGGGGTGGGGCTGTCACAGTATTCATGAAGGAATGAGGTGGAGTAGATGGCACTTCGTATCTTGAGAGAAGGTGCCGTGTCTGTATCTACAACATCTAACATAGTGCTTAGAGCAGAGGAAAGGCAGTGAAGAGTATGTTCATTTGCATATGTAGGCAATTTGCAAAGAAACAAACAAGTTAACTAGGCACTGACCTCCAGAGTTTACAGTCTAATACCAAGCTTGATATGTAGATACAAGTCCTAGGACAGGTTTCTCATCTTAGCTTCAAACCCTTAGCATCTAACATGATGCTTAGAACTTAGCGGGTGTTCAGTACCTTCCTTAACCAAGAATCTTTTTACTAAGAAGAAAACTTAAAGTCCGTTTGATACATAGTTTCCAGGCTCTGAGGAAAGAGGAAATCACACCTGAGTCCATAACAGACTTAGGTCTAGAATTCATTGTTCTAGATCACTTCTTCCCAAGTCCCTCTCCCAAGGAACACGTTCTTCTTCATTCTGCCACACTCTGGCTTGTAATCATCTCATGTCTAAACATGCTCAGGAAGAAAGTTAAAGATGTTTCCATTGCTTGAAATCTTAGGGTTTCTAATAGGAAGGGATAAGTCTGCATTAGGTAAAAAAAAAAAAAAAAAAAAAAAGAAGGGTAGGAAGACTTGTGGTAATACTTGTTTTTCAATAAATATTAATTGCATATGGATTTAAGTGATACATTGAAGGTAAGTGGTTTAAAAAATGTTTACAAGTATATTCCTTGCCTTTTTCTTGGAAGAATTTAAGATTTTTATCTATTCTTTGTAAACTCTCAAAAGCGAAAATTAATGGGATTCTTTACCATTAACCACATTTACCATTACCGCATTCTACACATTTTCTTTTCTTTTTTCCAACAAGCTCTACCCACTCCCTGGAATGCGCTCCTTCCTCAGCTGCCTAAAAGAATCATACCTAAGGCCCAAATCAGTAATTCCCATCTCAGAAAATCTCCTTGGCCCTGAGTTTACCCTCCTAAATCATTTATCTCTCCATTACTTCTAACACTAATGTACATTATTTAATATAACTCTTATGCCTAAAATAGTGCTTGACACTTAACAGGTATTCAATGTATGCTGCTGAATTGGAATAAATGAAATTATTGAGTTGGAATGCATTATATTTTAGACATTATTTTAACATTATTCTGTCCATTTTTCCAGTTTTAAAGTTGCAGTTTCTCTGCAAGGAACATCGTTTAACAGTGCTATTCTCAAATAGATTCTCCCATTGCTTTAATTTTCAGCACCTCCCATGACACCCTAGGAATAATACAAAGTTTCCTACACTCTATGGAAAGTCCAGTAATGGTTTTAAGTAAATACTTTATTTCTAATTGAAACTTTCTTTTCTGAACATTTGCCCTCACATTATTCATTTATTCACCCAAGAAATTATTTGGAAGCTCTAAGGTCTCATTGTTCCTCCCAGCATTTATTTTACTGTAACAAAGGTTAAACCTTGGATTGCAATCTTAGAGGAAAATTAATTCACTGATTAAGAAAAATGCACTTTAAGCAATACACATCTAAATAACTGACAAGCATAGGGGTGAATTTCCAATTTTTTGGCGGGGGCGAGGGGGGACTCTTTTTTCCTACTTAAAATTTTAAGCAGCTGCAATTCTTCCCCCCTATAGCCTGGGGAAACATAGCATGAATTACTAATAAGGTAGCACCAATCTGCAGTGCAGTGACCACTTTCAGAACAAAAGGGTAAGAACTGAAACAGGAAAACAGATTTTTTATCAATTAGTTGCTTAAAGCGTATTTGGACCTTGGCTCTACTTGAAAAACTTGCAATATTCTATCATTCTTCAGCCGAAGGCACTTGGCCCCAAAGATTCCACTTTTAAATAAAGCAATGTTCATTATATACTACCTCCAATCCTTGACAAGAAATTTCTCATCCTCTACACTGGGACCCAGAATCCCATTAATTTATGAAATACACAATTTTAATTA